GCTGAAACCCAAGCCCCCTTGGGTTAAGCTAAACACTGATGGCGCTTTCGACAGACATACCGGAGCTGCTGGAGGAAGAGGCCTGATTAGGGATCATGGTGGAGCACTCATATCTGCCTTCCATGGGCCACTCCGGGCCTCCTCGAGTTATGATGCAGAGATTCAGGCGCTCCAGATTGGCCTCGAGATTGCCGCCTCGATCTCCTCTCATGTCTGGATAGAGATGGATGCTGCGGCTGTCATCACACAATTGACATCCGGCCACCAGGGCCCATGGCAGATCCAGCACCCTCTTATGCGTATCAGAGACACCCTCCGCTCGATCCACTACCAGGTCTCACATATATTCCGGGAGGGGAATCGGCCTGCTGATTTCCTTGCTAGCACGGGGGCTTCTATACCCCAGAGACGCACCCTTCTTCCTGAGGACATTCCCCTTCGGCTTCAGACGCTCATTCGGATGGACCAGTTAGAGTACCCATCCTTCAGATTCGGTCGACCGCCACCACCTGCCCCTGACTAGTTTTGACATTTTGGACCCCTTGTATTTTTATTCTTTATTTTATTTTCTCTGCTTTTGATGTTGCTCTATGTATTTCCGACTTGGATGTAGACCATTGATTTTTTAGCCCTAGTTGGGCCATTATATTCACAGGTCGGGGGTGTAGCCTCAACCCCCCATCCCATTCTGGGATGTTTTTTAAAAAAAAAAAAATATTACGATCGTCGAAATAAAGTTGACACTATCATAATCTGGTACTTGATTAATTGGTTGTTTGGTCTCTTGGGATACAACCTTGCTTGCCACATACTACGATCGAAGTCGTACACTTGCGGTCGAGCTTTAAAAATATAGGCGAACGTAGATTATTATTGTTCGAAAATTGTTTTTGTCAACAACTATGGCCATTTTTCATCTATATATACCCCTAAATGATTATTTCATGAAATAATTACCCGACACACAATTCAACTTTCTATTATATTCTTGAATACGAGTTTATAAGTTACGAATATTATATCCTTGAATACGAGTTTATTATTTTTATTCCTAATTGATGCTTCTTTGATCATTTGGCTGAGTTGACATGGTTTGTTATTCCAATTATAGTCTCTTTGACATTTTTTAAAAAATTGATTGATTACTTTTAATTTAATAAATAAGGAAATTAGCACATTTGGTGGGGTATGATATGAATCATCATCGGATATTATTGCTTCAAATCTATGAACCATTAACAACAAAAACAAAAGGAAAAATAGAAAAGAAAAAAAAAAATCTTTATTGCCCAACTTTTAATGAATCCATACAAGTGTTACAACCTTGCATGATAAGTGAAAGCGACGCTTTTCTTTCGAAAGAAAAGTGAAGGCTACGTTTTTAATTATGTTAATA